TGCCCTCCCCCCAGCCATGCTGGAGGTAGAGCACACACCTGCTTGGGTGGGACCAAACCTTTGAGAACAGGGGGGCTCCCCAGTGCATGCAAGAATCACAGGATGGAGAGTTCGAGGCCAAGCTCTGTGCCCGCTGGCTGTGTGACCTTGGGGAAGCCCCTTAACCTCCCTGAGCCTCGATTCCCTCCTCTCTGAGGACACACAGCAATATGCCCGTCTCTCTCACGGTTGGGATAATAAAAAATGGTTAAGATTTAAAGAGGGCTTTTTATGGGCCAGGCACTGTTTCAAACACACCGATTAACTCATCGAATCCGCACAACAGCTTTGTGAGGCAGGTACTGCTGTTGTCTCCATTTTGCAGGGAGGATAAGTTAAGTCCCCTCCGGTTCCACAGATCAAAGGTAGCAGAGCAGGATTTGAACCCTGGCGGTCTGGCTTCAAAGTCCTTCCTGTTCACCATTCCAGCTGCCTCTCCCTCCCTCACTAGAGAAAGGTCGCTCCAGGTAATACCAAATAAACAAGCACACGGGCATGCTGGGAGAGGGTGGTGGGGCCGAGCCCCAAAGCAGGGAGCAGGGCAGATGCAGCAACAGGGAAGGGAGGATGGGGGCAGGGGTGAAGTGGGAAGCTCAGGTGGCACCCTCCCCTTCCCGCCACGGTCCTCTTGGACCTAAAGGTTAGAGAGTGTTAATTGAGGCTGACCGGCCCAACCCATGGTTTTCCAGAGGACACGGAGGCAGAGTGGGCCCCACACCTTGCCTGGAATCACTGTGAGTGAGGAGCAGAATGGGGGTGGGGCTTGGCTTTCTGGGGTTTTCTCTACCACCTTCCCTGGGCAGTTGGGGTAGGTCTGGTAGCAGAACGCCACGGCCAGGGTTCTGAATCCTGGGATTTTAACCCGGGAGCCTCCGTCACAAAGACCAAAGGTGGCCACTCACGCTGTCCTCCTGGGCAGAGTTCTGAAGGTGGTTTCTGAGGGACTTCTCAGGTTTCCTAATAAGGGGGTTGGGGTTCTCTGGCTTCTCGCCACCCTAAGAGGAAAACAGCCCGACTGCAAGAGAACCTCCAGTTAGATGCTGGAAAGAAAGCACACGTTGGGCGGAACAGGTGGCTGAGGGGGAGGGGCTTCCATGCCACGTTGCCACATTTCCCTGCTTCTACCCTTGGCCCCTGAGAGCCCATTTGCAACACAGCAATCAGAGGGCTCCTTAAGAAAGGTGACTCAGAGCATGTCAACCCCCCGGCTCCCCACTGGGCTCCCAGTAACAGAAAAGCCTTCCCCAGGCATTTTGGCTTTTGCCTGATGCTTCGATGCTTTGTCCTTGCCTCCTCTCTAGTGCCCCCTGACCAGTCTCATTCCTGCCCCTTGAAAATGCCCAGCCGTTTGCCTTTCCGAGGGCCTCTGCCCTTGCAGCCAAACACCTGCTGTCGGAACGTTCTCCCTCTGCAGCTCCGTGTGGCTGCCTCCTCTACGCCTCTTAACCTCCGTTCTAAACAGCACCTCTCTGGAAGGCCTTCTGGAGCCATGGAGCCAAAGATAGCCCCCTCCTGTGCCCCATCACTTGCCCTGTTTACTGATTTCTTGACATTCATTTTCACCTACAACGATGTTGGTGCCTATTCCTCTAGCTGCCCCACTGGGATGAAATGTAAGCTCTTGGAGGGCGGGGACCACCGCATCTTTAGCACTAACTCCCCAATGGTGGGCACATAGTAGGTGCACGATACTGTGTGTTGAGTGAATGAATACATAATCGTTCACCTATGTAAATTTCAGCCTAGGCCCTCAGAAAGGCCAGGAGGCCAGCAAATTAATGAAGTCTGAAGGCCATTCTGAGATGATTCCAATTCCTGCAAACAGCCAGAACCAGGCAATAGAGGCCTCTCTGGGGGACTTTGGTGTCCCTTTCCCCACTCCAACCCCACCCCTCTGCAAAAATGTCTTTTTTTTTTTTTT